GGTCGTAGAGTCCGAAAATGAGGTCCATTATCCACTACGGCCCTCAAGAAGCCCTAAAATCAAAGATGGCGCCCAAAATGGCCGCCGGTCTTGCGGATGAAACTGCCATTTAGGGCAGCTATAACAAACAATACGTTCAAAATTAAGTTTCTTGGGTCAAGAAGTTCAAATAGGAGATCAGATGTTTACTCCTACAAAAAATTAAGCCTCCTAATCGAAAATGGCTGCCGACATTGTTGCCAGTTAAAGGCGCAGACCGGTAAATGACTGATATTAAGGGATTTGCCGAAGGAGGGGTTTCGATAAGGGCCGTTGTTGGGCCCATACCCTGAAATTCTTCAATTTTACGATTGTTTGCTCATTTAAAGACTAAAGTTTGCGGAATGTATCATGATTTTGTCATTTCCGGTCTATTTAGGGGTCTAATACCGGCCTAAACATGAGACTAAAGGCCGATTTTGGCGAAAAATGCGGGGTTTTTTACATTCGACGTTACGCTGTTTCATAACGATCCCATCATCGGAGGAGATTGTTGTCCTTAAAGTACGTTCATTAAGGATGTAAGATAGTCACTTTGCCCAATTTTCGTTGATGGCAAACCTTGCGCTCAGAGTTAAAACGATCTTCTTATAATTTTCTTGTTTTTCATCGTTATTTAAAATGGCATAGAAAGGGCGACTCATCTTAAACCAGAAATAGATTCCTTGGTGGAAAGTAAGTCCTGTAAAAGTTCGGGAGAAACACGATGGTGCCACTGGTTTTCTCTGAAATCAACTCCCAAGCTCAAAAAAAGCTCTCAAATTGAGCCGGAAATGGAGGGGATATCCCACGCTATCCTGAGAGTCCACCTCTAAATCAAGACAAACTCTCTATGCAAAGATAAGGAGCAAGTACATTCACAGGGCTACCACTTTATTTGGGGACTCCACAACAGAAAACGCAGCAACCTTGCTAATGTATTTGCTCCCTATCTTTGCATGGAGAGTTTGTCTTGATGTACAGGTGGACTCTCAGGATAGCGCGGGATATCCCCTCCATTTTGGTCTCAACTTAAGAGCTTTTTTTGAGCTTGGAAGTTGATTTCAGAGAAAGCCATTGGCACCATCGTGTTTCTCGCGAACTTCTACATAAGAATCCATAGTCAAATTGCAAATTCCTCACACATGCAACATCTCCATTGCATTTATATAATCACTAATCATGCGATCGTAACGTATGAAAAATCAAGGGTTTTGAGCTTTGCTAATAATGTGCTCTACGAAGAACAGCCTCCAAATACTGATATAATCACGCGGTTTTCTGTGATGTTAGGCAATAAAATATGGCAACACAGGTTTTCCTTTTTTTTTGGGGGGGGGGAGGCTTTAATCCATTAATTTTTTGGAGGACACTTATGGCAAGCTGTGTACATTTTCCACCAAGGAATCTATTTCTGGTTTAAGATGAGTCGCCCTTTCTATGCCATTTTAAATAACGATGAAAAACAAGAAAATTATAAGAAGATCGTTTTAACTCTGAGCGCAAGGTTTGCCATCAACGAAAATTGGGCAAAGTGACTATCTTACATCCTTAATGAACGTACTTTAAGGACAACAATCTCCTCCGATGATGGGATCGTTATGAAACAGCGTAACGTCGAATGTAAAAAACCCCGCATTTTTCGCCAAAATCGGCCTTTAGTCTCATGTTTAGGCCGGTATTAGACCCCTAAATAGACCGGAAATGACAAAATCATGATACATTCCGCAAACTTTAGTCTTTAAATGAGCAAACAATCGTAAAATTGAAGAATTTCAGGGTATGGGCCCAACAACGGCCCTTATCGAAACCCCTCCTTCGGCAAATCCCTTAATATCAGTCATTTACCGGTCTGCGCCTTTAACTGGCAACAATGTCGGCAGCCATTTTCGATTAGGAGGCTTAATTTTTTGTAGGAGTAAACATCTGATCTCCTATTTGAACTTCTTGACCCAAGAAACTTAATTTTGAACGTATTGTTTGTTATAGCTGCCCTAAATGGCAGTTTCATCCGCAAGACCGGCGGCCATTTTGGGCGCCATCTTTGATTTTAGGGCTTCTTGAGGGCCGTAGTGGATAATGGACCTCATTTTCGGACTCTACGACCCTGAAAACCTAATAATTGATACCTCACAATGCATGTAGACCCGAATAGGCAAATTATCACCCGTAAGAGGTATTTTTGGACGCCATCTTGGATTTTGGCCTGAAAATGACCTTTGAGCTAACTTTTGACTGAAAATTCGGACTCTACGATCAAAAATACATAAGAATCTATACCCGACACGACGTATTTGCAAACTTTAAATTTTTTTACCCCAAAACCGCCATTTTGGCCGCCATCTTGATTTTGGGGGGGTTTGTATGAAATTTGAGATGGCCATCATCGATTTTCTTTTTCTAGACATCAAAACGAAGAGATTGACGTATCACACAATATGCCTTCACAAACCTGCACACGGGACATATGTTTTGTTACGTATGCCCCCGCACTATACTTCAATTTTGCAAGGCAACGTTACAAGCTGTTTCAACGGCGAAAATTTTGAGGCGCATCTCAACATTCCAAGCAAATTCTACAGCAGTATTGCCGGGGCAACTAGACAGAAATGCGGGGATTAGCCTTAAATTACGTCTTTCTACTGATCTAAAGCGTGAATTTGACATGTTTTAAATGGCATTTCGCGTTCGCAATGAAATACAATAATATTTCCTGAAATGCAGGGTCGGACTGACGCACCTCTAAGGGCGCAAACCCTTAGCCGTCGAAGGGGGCGCAATGTGATATTTTGCTGAGGAGTGTGCGGGAACACCCCCCCCCCCTCTCTTTCTCTCGGAAACGCCGAAATTTTTTAAGAATCAAACTCTACTAAGTAGAATTTTGACGATATTTTCAGGTTCAAAATCGATTAATCTTACAAAGGAAAATTCTGACATTGAACATAATAATAAAAGTAACGGAAGAATTGTGAGATGAAAGATGTAAAATCGATTAATCAAAGAAAAGCTATTCGAGGCATCCAAGCACCATTATCTCTGGAAAAAACAAGCGAGAGCTCAAGAGATCCAAAATCATGCTTTTGAAAACTGAAAGTTCGAAAATGAGGGTCACAAGAAAACAAGAAATACTCCAGACCCTGTATATTGTATAAATAACTAATACAATACATTTTAAATTTAAATTTTTAAATGTTTAAACAAAGTGGGAACAATGAATATCAGGGCCGGATTAAGGGGGTGGCCACATGGGCCGCGGCCCATGGCGGCAAATTTAGGGGGCGGCAAATTTTGGAATTTTTTTAAATGTAGGTATAAAAATAGTGTATTTTCTTCGAGAAAATACATTAAAAATGGGATTCAGAAAAAAATTAGCAATGAGAAAAGGGGACCAAGTCTCCCTTTCCTGAGAGCATAGTAATTTCTAATTTTGTTGTTTTTCGGTGATACAAGAGGCAGCATCTTTAATTAGTCGAGTCAAGAGAGGGACTAAACACGCAATTTGGACTGGTGCTCAGCGCAGAGAGGAATGATGACGAGAACTTGAGATGAAAAGGAGAAGCCCTCGGCGGTCGGCACGTAACACATATTAGCGCCTACAAGATTGCATGAATACTTCCCGCATCGCGTCAAATACAGTGCGGTCAGCGCGGAGCTGCGGCGGAAGTTAAAATTATTAAACCTCATTTATGTTTGTTCTTTCTTAATTTTTTCGTTCAATGCTTATAAATGGAAGGCCTTGTCCACACAGAGATAGGTTTACGGGACTTAACTTTCGCGCAAAGTTCTGTGAACTTTCGCTAGTATTGTTGACATGGCTTTCGTAAAAAATGTGTCTAACACGAGTAAACGCGTTTTATGCACCCCGCTACCTCCGGCACGTTCACTTGACGGTTTTATTGATGTTTCAAAACGAATGAGAAGGGGGCGGCAAAATGCAGATGGCCCATGGGCGGCCAGTAGGTAAATCCGGCCCTGATGAATATACATACTACATAGCTGAAGAAAAGAAAAATAAGAGAAGGGGACAAAATACAGAATACACTTTCCTCTATAACTCCTATTCAAGCTTTACGTATAATTTTTAGGCATTTTTTTCCTTTACTTATTTTCTTTTCTCCTTGCTTTTTATTTATTATTCTTTTCTTTTTTCTCTTCTTCTTTTTTCCTTTTTCCTTTTTTTCTTTTTTTCTTTTCTTTCTTTTCTTCTTTTCTTCTTTTCTTCATTTTCTTCATTATCATTCTAGCAGCCGGAAGAGGGGCGCATCTGCCAATGGCAGATTGGCCTTATGGTCAGTCCGACCCTGCTGAAATGTATGGAATGACAATGTTGCGACGGTAATGTTGACAGTCCATTCTACAATTTTGATTGATATACTTTTACTTTAATCCCAAAGAGGACTAATTGGTTTTGGATTGCATTCTTTCCAAAGTTCAAGAAAATTTGATATTTTTAGCCATTTCCCGTTGTAGGCTATCATTTTTTGTTAAGGACATGCAGAACTTGGTTGATAATCGAAATTGGGTCATGTGCTAAGACATTTGTGAGAAAATGTCAGTTCTGACCATTAGCTTACGACTTGTGCGAAATCATTGCAAAAATTTGAAAAAATGTCGACACTTATATCCTGCCGTTCTAAGAAAGAACGCCGTATGAACATTCGTGAGTTGCCAAATTTCCGTCGATAAAATATGTATTTTTGACCACATTCATGCATATTTTTCCTCGAAATTTTTAGATATTTTAGATTAAATTGCGTAAAAAATTGTCTGAAAATTTTGGAAAATATTTTAACAATTTTCTAAGTAAATTCGGTTTTTACTCGAAGGAAACTTGGCAACGCCTAAAGGCTCATACGGCGTTCTCCCTAAGCACGGCAGTATCGCGCTTTGATCTCCGACGGTAGAATACTGACCCATCATTTTCCTCGTGTCACTCTGCCAATAAATAATCTGGCGTGAATAGACAAGCAAAGTTTACTCACATGATGTTTGGCCGTATCCGTGAACTGTCAAAAGAAGCCCGTCAAAATGGAGCAGCAGCAAATCACGTCACAGGCGTTTTCAGCGTCGAAGTATTTCGAGCACTTCACTCCTCCGAAAATAAAATTAGGGGCCAAAATAGCTGGAAAAAAACAAAATGGGAATGATGTAAGAAAGAGCATAGGTTGAACCACGCGGAGATAATATGGTTTAGAGATCCCCTGCACTATTAAGTAAAAGTTATTTTTGGAGGTGACACTTAGATTTGCCGACATTAGCGGATCCAGCAAATTGGCAACATTGTCTTTTCTCCATTTAAACACATGGAAATGTATCGATCCTTGGAGGAGCCAGGCCTCAGGTGCTCCGACAAGAATCGATTATTGAGCATAGGTTCAAAGGGAGGAAATACGATGAAATATGATAGATGCTCTGCAGCCCGTGACAAGATATACAATAAAAAAACAATTTGAAAAGCGGGTAACAGGGCTAAAATTTCACATACACAAAACCAAAAGGTTTCGGCTGAAAATTCAGCCAGCCTCAGTTGGATAAATCAAAATAAAAATGGTTAAAAATCTAAAATAGTACCTCATAAGTACCTTTCAATTGGGAATGTTGTTATTATCCTTATTATTAGGAAATACGGTGTTGCCAAATTGCTGGATCCACCTCTGTTTGCCGATGATGCTTGATAACCAAAATGTTGAGAAATCTGTTTAGAGTACGAAACAACCAGCGACAGATTTCAGCGAATTTTTCTTATCGAATAACGCAGTCTTTCATAATATTCGACTTCAAAATTATTTTTGCATTTTTTGATGGCCGAAAAGTGAAAACCACACATCTCCGTTTACATCGTTGCAAAATTCATCTTATATTTAATTTTTTTATCGGGAAACTAGTCAACTCAATTTCTTGAAAACCCCATTGACTTTCCTTCTTTGTTAATGGAATATTCCGTAGAAATTTAAAGTTATGTAGTTCACTCGTTTCTCTCTGAAATATAATATGTAGGAGGAGTGATTTTGAAAGACCCTATTGGAGATACGTGGTTTCGCACTTTAGCCATCCTGCCGTGCTGAGGAAGAACGCCGTATGGACAATCGAGAATCGCCGGATTTCCTTCGATAAAATGTTTATTATTGAGGAAATTTATGAACATTTTCCCATGAAATTTTCAGGAACTTTAGGTGAAATTGCGAACAAAATTATTTGAACAATTGGAAGGAGAAGATTTGTAAGTTTACTAGGAAATTCGGGTTTATCGAAGGAAATTTGGCAAGGTATGAAGGTTCATACCTAAGGTATAAGGTTTACCGGTATAAGGTATTAAGTAGTAGGTAGTAGGTAGTATTAGGTAGTATAAGGTATAAGGTATAAGGTATAAGGGTACCGTATGAGGTTTTTCCTTATCATGGCAGCATCGATATTTGTTTTCGTGAGGGGCTCTTCAGAAACGGAGAAGTACAAGAGTTAAATTCCCATTTATGAGTTACATTTGGCAATTTTTGACGTGTTCAAAGTGTTTTTTTTTTTTTTATCGACGAGGCAGCGAGTTTCCGAAAACTCTGATTCCTACCCTGTTTTGAAGCCCATTTCGCGGTTTCTAAAAAATATTGTCCCAAGTGCGATTGAGCAAAGATAGATCTACGAATCTGGCGCTAACGTGTTTCTGGGAAACGTTACGGGAGCCAGCGCTGCGATGCGATCAGTGGCGTGCTTTGCGATATATCGATTAACCTGCCATTTAAACCTATGGAAAAGGATCGATAAACAGGGTATTCGCAGCGAACACCTTAATAATCGATTCTTTATCATAGGTTTAAATGGCATAACAATCGATACATCGCAATTCACGCCAGCGCAGCGATGCGATGGATGGTGTCTCAACGCGCCGGGGAATTAATTAGTGGGTTATGATTGGTTACGGATTTTGTTTGTTTATTCGTGACTAGTCCAAAGTGCGAGGGAAAGTGTCGAAAAAATTAGGGTTTTGTTTTTGTCGGACGCAGCTCGTCGAGATAGCCTTTGTTGATGCCTGGCCTTTGTTCCTACGATAAAAATGACTCTGTGCTTGTATTATTATACAATTTCATTTTGTCAATCGTTTTATGTATTTATTTCTTTTATTTTTATAGTTATAAAAACATATACAGGGCTACTAGGGCCCCAAAACATATCTTATTGGCGCAATTAATCGCTCAGTACAAAAATATGGGTCTGGATCCCAACTAACATACAAATTAAACAAAAAAAAAAAAAAAAAAAAAAAAAAAAAAAAAAAAAAAACCCACACACTTTGCCTATAAAGTGCAGCTTTGCAAAAAACAACTAATCAAATTTATAAATAAGATTATGCAAAAAGACGATCAAGAAAAATAGACAAAATAGAGAAAATAAAGAACATAGTACATACGAAAGATAGGAGCCCCCACACGGGAAAAAATGGATTGCTGATTTAATAACTTAATTGTTAAAAAGTATGTCCGACATGTTTCAAATGTACATTTTAAAATATTTAAAAGCTACTTTAACTACGGAGATGGTTAAAGTAGCATTTTTCTTTTATTGTAAAATCTACATTGTAACATGTAGGACACTTTTTTCAACTATAACATTGTTAAATCAGCAATCTCATTTTTTTCCGTCTACTCGATACAGCCCCAGGCCTGGACATCGTGTTAATCGATACCCAGAATAATTTCTGATTGATTCGGTCTATGCTAAAATCGAGCATGTCTAATTCCTGATGATCCCTGAATTCTTGAGAATGACTATGTTCTAGGACACATCAGATTATGGTGGTAACCAGTTCCCAGGTCGACCTTCAATTTAATGTATTTGAATCGTGTTTAGCAGAAAGGAATCAAGCCACATTTGCATTTGCCAAATTTAACTGAATCTTTTAATTTTTACAAGAGAACATTTGCATGGAATCCTTTGAAAATATTAAAGGATTCGCCTCGTACAATGCAGAAAATTTATTGAAATTTGCACAAAATTCGGACAACCGTTTTCATGTGAAAAATTAAATTTGGCAATAGCTGATGTGGCTTGGTTCCTTCCTGCTTAACGCGATTCGTTAATTCTTGAAAGTGACTCTTCACTCTTCTTTTCATTTTGAGATGAAACGTGGACATGAATACTTTAACGTGCGGTAGTCTGAAATTTCGCAATTCGGGATTTCATTCTGATTTTCATAATGTATTTAAGAACCGTTAATTGATCCATAAATGTAGCCATACACTGTAAAAAAATATCGGTGTTTTTACTAAGAAAAGGGTAAAATTACCAAGAATTCAGGGTTCTATTTGATCCCAGTTTTTTCTTGGTAAAATTACCATTTATGGAATTGGTAATTTTACCGAGAAATCTTGGTAAAATTATTGACTTTCTCGGTAATTTTACTGGACCCCGGTATAAACGCCAATATTTTTTATCGACTGTGGTAGAATTACCGAGATAAAATGGCAAAGTTACCGGGAATTGATTACAAATAAAAGTGGTATTCTTACCTGAAAAAAAACAGTGAAAATACCGGTTTTTAGGTAAGCTTACCAGTCTGTCTTGGTAAAATTACCAATAATTGGTAAAAAAAAGTGAGTTGGTAAAGGTACCAACGGACCTTGGTAAAAACGCCGATAGTTTTTTTTTAGTGTTTGATGCAATAAAAATAGGAAAACTTCGGGCGAAGAGGGGTATAGCTGCAGTTGTAAAAATATACACCTAACCCAAAGAATCACTTCCTGAAATCTTCGTGTCTATTTGATCTCGAGTCACCCTGAACGCCTTCTTGAAAAACGCAATGGGTGATGTCATCATTTCATTAGCGCTACCAGCCACCATGATCTCTCCCATCTCCGTTTCATCAATGTTGTGCATGGAGAAACCATTGCTAATTCTAATAATCGCTTATTTTTTATGATACGCTCTGCACGCAGTAGTGACGTCACGTATGTACAAGTCGATGGCTGTACTGCATAGCCACTTATCTAAGTTTCGCCGTTTCAAAATTTTCGCGTAAACACTATTCTCTGGCAGGTAAATTCTCTGATGTTTCATCGACGGTGTCAATTAATGAAATCAGCTCTAGCTATATTGCTGAATTTACACCGAAAGAAAAGTGATGTTGGTTTAACATTTTGGATGTAAAAAAAGTGTGCGAGAACTCACAAAATGCTGAATAACCCGCTACAGCGGTTAGTTTTACACCTTGACATTGCTGAAGTAACTGTTGTAGCGGTTAATTCAGCGTTTTTGAAGTTCTCGCACGCTTTTGTAACATCCAGAATGTTATATCAACTTCCCTTTTTTTTCGGTGTACCGTCGGATCTTTTGACTACAAAATGTGATTGCATACCTTTGAGTCAGTAACAACACTTCTCCAAAAATCACGCATTCTTTCGAAAAAAATAAACTTAAAATGTAAAAGTGTCATAAAGCGAAACGAGATATATTTATCAATGATGAGAGTGGGAAAACGCGTGTAAAAAATTCCCAATTTAGGAAGTTAATTTTTATTTTCACAGTTGATGTTTTGAAAGAAAAGCTTACGAAGATTTAGTGGCGTGGCGTGCTTTGCGATGTATCGATTGATCGGACATTTAAACCTATGGAAAAGTATCGATAAACAGGGTGTTCGAAACGAACACCTTAACAATCGATTCTTTACCATAGCTTCAGATGGGGAAATATCGATAGATCGCAAAGCACGTCACGCCACTGCGGGGATCATTCCTCGGATTTTTCCCGTTTTTTTTTCACTTCAGACATCGCTTCTCTATAAGTTTCGAGTTGGAACTTTCCCTCATTTCATTTGAAAAAAATAAAATGGAGACAGAGATTCGGAAAAAGTCGCTATCGACATACGTATTTTTCGACTTGAAAACATCGCAAATGGACGTATTTCTGTCAAACGGCACTATGTGCATTAAGACATGAGCCCTGATACCCAAAAGAATACATGCATAACAGGGCTCACGTCATAGTGCACATAGTTCCGTTTGGCAGAAATATGTTCAAATATGCAAACACAAGTAGAAACACTCCATCAGCCTCTCAACGACACATAGAAACCTCTCCTCTTGGAGTTCCATTATGGAGCACTTAAAATTCGTTTAACAAGGAAGCCGATTTTTTGGACCGATAAATATATGAGAGGTTTTTTTATTGATAAAGAGCAGCCGGAATCTTTCCCGCGTGTAATGGATCCGTTTTTTGCCAAACATTAAAAGAGAATCCAGTAATTTAGCGATATGTGTTAGATATCTTATGTTTATTTACTCTCACTATAGATTCACCTCAATTTTCATTGACTTATTTATTGTAAGAAAAACACAACTAAGAACAAAAAAAAATTCCCGTGCGCAGCGGATGGTTTCGGTTTTTCCCTTTGTTTTACAAAAGATACTTTCTTGAAAAAAAAAAAAAAACTTTACTGACACGTGCTTTTACGCAAATGGATCTGTTTTCTTTTCCTCCAAAAATTCCAAGTGAAACCGGTAGTTACACAAACAAATTTCGATATGTTTTTGCTTGCTTACCAACGCTATAGCCTTACAACTTTCAACATCTTGACATTTCAAATCATCGTTTCCTGGACGAAGTAACGTAACTATATTTCAGTGTTACCAAATTTTTCCTCACAAATTGCGTATTAACCAGAAAAATCTTGAACATTTTTTATTGAAAGTCTCGCTGATTTTTTTTCAGATTTCATGCAAAATTCAGAAAAACTCGGGACAAAAATTAAATGGGTACATTCAGGTGAAATAAATTAATTGTCTCAGGCAATTTGACAGCTTTAAAATGGCGTTACGCTCTTTCGTCCGGGAAACAACGCAATATGGCACGCATTCAGACCTCCGATAAATTTCATGGGATCTAGAGTCATTTTTGACCCCTGTACATTCTAGCGTGGCACGGCACAAAGTGGATCGAGTCAATTAAAGAGATCGAACATGAAACTTTTGACTAAAACTACAAATTTTGACGTTTATTTCGTCACATTTGAAATTTATAGGGGTGTTTCTGAACGTAAATTTCACTAGGTAACCATTAGAACCACTTTTAAGACCTCAAAGTTTTGTATGAACGGAGTTATAAGCTTCTAAAGTTTCCAAAGTTTGTCCGACCTGTCTCATTGACTCAATCCACTGTGGGGCATGACCTGAAACTTCACTCAATTTATGATCGTTGTTCTATTCTGTCGTGCTAAGGAAGAACGACATATGAACATTCGAGAGGTGCCAAATTTCCCTTGATAAAACATGTGTTTTTGACGATATTCAAGTACATTTTACTTTGAAAATTTCAGATATTTTAGATGGAATTGCGTACAAAACTGTCCGAAAATTTTGGAAAAAAATATTCACAATTTTCCTAGTAAATTCAGTTTTTATCGAAGGAAACTTGGCAACGTCTAAAGACTCATACGGCGTTCATCCTTAGGACGGCAGTATTCTAAGAAGTATTTAATTTCATTTTCCCTCTCTCTCTCTCACTCTCTCCCCCCCCCNCTCTCTCAGGAGTCTGCATTGACCTATAAAACTAGAAAATTCAAGAAACCGCAAAAGGCAAAAAATTCAGGTTTAACCTTAAAAATCCCGGCGCGCAGCGTCGCCGACACTCACCTCAAGTTTGACTCCCTCCTCCACGAGAGGGCACTCGCACTCACAAACACCGCGGCTCTCGAGGTCTCGAGCGCGAACTAAAGCTCTCGCGCGACACGCCACTCCACTCAGCGGGCGAAGTTCACGAAACACTAATCTTGACCCGGCCGCCGTGATAACGGCCGCTATCACATCGCTCAGCGCCCGGTAAAAATAGCGGAGCGCTGCAACTCAAAATCGAGACCCTCGCGCTTCCCCGCCGCCGCGGCGATCGGATACCGCCAATTGGCGAATGGAGGGGGCCCTCCACGGGGGGCGGGGGCAGNGGGGGGGGGGGGGGGGTGCCTCTGGACATTGTTACGGTCGCGATGGATGAGGCACAATGCGCGAGATTTTAAAACGGAGCTGCTCTCCGGCGCTCGGCGTCACGTCGCGTTGGGGAGTTGGGGAGTTTGTTTTGAAAAGTTTGGCCCCCGGGTGGATCTGGTTGGTGGGTTGGGAAGTGGGTGGGGGGGGGGGNGGGCCAGGGGCCGAATTTTGTCGGGGAAAACGGGCCGACTGAGTGGGGCCTACTCGCATGTGCCCGGGACAAAGCACGATCGCGCACTTTCAGATCCGTCCTGACACCTGAAATCACACTGGAAAAAAAAAACACATTGGATCTGGGTCCTTACTCTTGAAGACATTGACAAGAAAAAATACTCTTCATTCAATCAGATTTAAGCTTAAATCAAAAGGAAATCCGCTCAAATTAAGAGGCTTGCTTCTTGATTTAAGCTTAAATCTGATTGAATCACACTGGAAAAAAAAAACACATTGGATCTAGAGTCCAGACTTTTAAAAACACCGACAAGAAAAAATACTCTTGATTCAATCAGATTTGAGCTTAAATCAAAAGGAAATCCGCTCAAATTAGGAGGCTTGGTTCTTGATTCAAGCTTAAATCTGATTGAATCACACTGGAAAAAAAGCACATTGGATCTAGAGTCCAGACTCTTGAAAACATCGACAAGAAAAAGTACTCTTGATTCAATCAGAATCTAGCTTCAATCAAGAACCAAGCTTCTTAATTTAAGCGGATTTCGTTTTGATTCAAGCAAAAATCCGATTGAATCAAGAGTATTTTTTCTCGTCAATGTTTTCAAGAGTCTGGACTCTAGATCAAATTTGTTTTTTTTTTCCAGTGCGACAGGAAACAGTGGGTCGCGTGGGCTTACATTTATTTTTGGGAGGGAAGGAGCGCTGGAAAAGAAGTCGCTTGGATCTAGAGTCCAGACTCTTAAATACATCGACAAGGAAAAATACTCTCCATTCCATGGGACTTTTTGGTTGAATCAAAGGAAATCTGCGTAAATCACGAGGCTCGGCTCTTCACTTCAAAGTTCGCCACTGATCAGTGGTTTTTCTTGTGAATGTCATCAAGAGTCTGGACTCTAGATCCAAGCAACTTTTTTTCCAGAGAGGATATCGCACGAAATTTGAAAAGTCTAGACGGAGGCTTATTGAGAGTTGCTTCCATAGGCGGTTCTAGACCTTCATGCTTGGGGGTGCCCAGAGGTGGAAAATGTCGGAGACCGGCTCCAAAAAGGACGGTCGCTCAAGGGAGGCCTAAGTGTCGGCCCTCAAGTTTTATCCCTTTCCTACCCTCCTTTCTCTTTTTTTCTCCTTCCTTTCTACTTAAATACATAAAGTCAATGTAGACAATTTTTAACAAAACTTTCCATCAAAACTACAATCTTACCATAAAAAAAAACAGTAGAATCTTTGTCATATCAACCTCATGATTCACCAGAAGTCAACTTTTGACGAGATACCCTCCTCCTCCCATCACCCCTTGCCAATAATCATTGAATACTGGGCACCTGCAGATTTCAAAAATTCATGAAATAAAAATATTGCCAATTTTTTTCGCTTCCTAATACGATTTTTTCTCGACGTTTTTACTTGCCCAAAAGCCTGTTTCCCGATTTCGGTAACCGTACTTAATTTTTGCTTGGGGGTGCCCGGTACCCACTGGCACCCCCGTAGAACCGCCTATGGTTGCTTCCAATCCAATTTGAGATTCGAAGGAAATTTGTATAAAGTTAGGTAAATTGGACGTATTTCTGCCAAATGGAACAATGTGTATCACGACGTGAGTCCTGTTATGCATATATTCTTATAGGTCTCCGTGTCTCAGAGCTCTGTCTTAATGCATATAGTTCCGTTTGATAGAAAAAGGCCGACCATCATTCGTTTTGGACATGTAATATCATTTTTTTTTGAATCTTCAAAACATCTGAATTTTCGCCCCCCCCCCCTCGCCCGCCCACTGCTTTATACACGCTCCGCTGATTCCAGTAATATACAACACCGGCCGAAACACCAATCAATCGAGTGACAGTGTAATTTGGTCTCATCAGCGATGGTTGAACTTCAATGGGAAAGAACCCACAAATTATCGGTGGGACAGCTAGAGTGAAACATTAGGTATCATAGAAATAGTTACCCATCAAATTCTCACTCGAAATGAGGTGTGAGGATTGAAAATTTTCACATGCAACTCATTTGCACGAAGTCAGCGTTTGTCATCGTCTTGATAAAAAAAAAAAGAAAAAAAAGAAAAACAATTACGCTCTGCTCTGCTCGACATGACAAATTACACTAGGTAATAAACGCTAGTGTCTCACCTATGCGATACTTTTTGAAGTTTTGAAGAAATTCACAGTGTTTAGTCTGAGATTTTCACGAGGAATAATGTTTTTTGGTACTTTCATTCCTACCGCGTCAAATGTTTTCGAAAATACGAATATATTTAGATTTCAAAATGTTCAAAAACGAGGTTTCTAAAAGTAACCCCTAATCATAATTTTCGGAACACTAAGGTAGTATCCTCTCTTCCCATTCCGAAGAAGAGCAAGCTCAAGAAAAGGCAAAACGCCTTCAGTTTTCGCACAGGCAACATGGGCAGCTTCGGAACACGAATAGTTGCAACAAGGCGTTACAGTCAAACTGGCGATTGATATTGTAGCCAAAGCTACGGTTGAAAAGTGCAGTTTTGTTCGTGAGTGGAACGCTGTAAGCGCTACAAAAGGCAAAACGCCTTCAGTTTTTGCGTAGGCAACATGGACCTCTCCAGAACACGAATGGTTGCATCAAGACCTCCACAGTCAAACTGGCGATTGGTATTGCAGACAACGCTACGGTTGAAAAGTGTTATTTTGTTTGTGAGTGGAACGCTGTAATCGCTGCAAAAAGCAAAACGCCTTCAGTTTTGGCGTAGGCAACATGGGCAACTCCGGAACACGAATAGTTGCATCGAAACGCTATACAGTGAAATTGGAGAATGATATTGTAGAATACGTTCGCCCTGTGCTGTTTGTGTTCGTGAGTGGAACGCTGCAGAGCATTCTGTACAAAGTGTACTACTACCACCCTATCCTGCACGGGAAAACAAAGGTAAGGGTTAAGTCGCAACTTGGACCTTTTCAATTAATTGTAGTGGTACCTCAGTCAATTGTGGTAGTACTCCAATAAATTAGACCACGGAACCAAATGTTGGAGTACTACTCTAACTTGAGTACTGCCATGCCACGGAAAACGTCGTATGAACAGTCAGGCGCTGCCAAATTTCCTTCGATAAAACACGAATTTCCTGGTAAACTTTTGCATATTTTTCTTCCAGTTATTCAGACAATATTGTTCGCAATTTCACCTGAAGTTCCTGAACATTTCAAGGAAAAATATTTGTAACAATCCCCAAAAATAAACATTTTATTCAAGGATATTTGGCAACTCTCGCATGTTCATACGGCGTTCTTCCTTAGCACGGCGGAGTAGCTTTACTACGAAAATCGATTGGACATGTTCATATCATTCAACAAATTGGATAGCACCACAACTTTACGCCTTGTCTCCACGGAAAGTTTCATGGGCTTTGTCCTAGGGAGAAATCTCACCTGCGAAGTTGGGAAAAATATTGAGTTTGTTAATACTAATCCCAGTGCCAACTAAGAGTCATTGTATGGAGTCCCAGGAACGACTTAAAAAGAAGAAGAAGAAAATGTGTTGTATTGTTTACCGAGAAAAAAGCGCAGAAGTTTCATTCCTGCGACTCGAACTTGGGAAAAATCCCGGGAAACGTCCCTTGGAGACAAGGTGTTAGGGGAAAACCCCTGACACTTTTTTTTACTCTGTGTTTATATCAACGATTCTTTTCCGAACCCATAATTAATAAACAAATTCGGGCGACTTTTGTTGCAAAATTTGGCAACCCGTGAGCCCAACGACCGGCAACGTTTCAATTTGTCGGAGACAACGGGCGAGGGCAGAGGAGAAGATGGTCGCAGTTGCTGAGATGAGTTCGAACCAATCAACGGCCGACCAATTAAGATAATTAGTGTAATTCGTGAATCATCTCCGTCGTTAACGCAAACTATCTTTGACAACTTAAGACTGCTGTTCGTAGACCCAGGCGCCGTTTTCTAGCGTGTCGTTGTTTGAGCTGTGATAGCTTTCAGAACTTTCAGCGAGACACAAAAGAGGTGACTGACAGGGTGGCATGAAACGTGAGAAAGAGATGAAAGATTGGAAGTTTCAGTGAAATATTTCACGAAATTTCATGAGGCTGTGAAATATTTCATATTTTTCAGGGGCTAGAGTATGCAACCCGCACCCAAACAAACAAAAATAGAAGAAAGTCACCATTTTCACATTTTGCGGAACATGAAAAGGAACCGGTATAGTTTTCAAGATCTTTCGTAAATTTCATAAAATATTTCTTGCGAAATTTCAAGATTTTATTTTTCATGAAATTATGCCACCCTGGTGACTGGAACAGTAAGCGGATCGATATATAGATTGATCTGCCGTTTTAACATACGGGAAAAAAACCTTGATAATCGGTCCTTCACCATAGCTTCAAATGAGGAAACATACATGATGGACTAACTGTAGGGTCTCTCGTGGGTTGTCGTTAGTTAGTCTATTATCTACGTTATTTGTCTATTGCTTGCAACCACACGCTTCCACCAATAGGAATCCTGGATATCTCTTGTGTCCTATTTGTCTATAGCTTTGTCTATCAATTTCAATAATCGGCCCGCAGATGTATTATTATGTCTCTCGTCTCTCGCAAAACGGAAGGGACGAGGTATAACTAAAAGAACAAATCTAGAGTCCTATATTGAGA